GGGCCGGCCCTGCATGGCCTTATCTAAATCAACATTGTAAAGATAATTTATTTTTTGAACTATCCAATGACAACATACCACGTGACATATTGTCAACAAGGATAAATCTATATGTACATAATTATAGTACATAATGGATTACATAAGCCCATGTGGAAGAAATCCGGCCGTGGATGTGAAGTGTGGAAAAGTCAAAAATTGTAGACTACCGATGGATGCGCGCCACGTGTCAATTATATAATGTATTGCGTAAATGATTATATACTTGTAGCATTGTCCAAAATTTAATACCCGAGACAGGCAATAACATTATGTCAAATCCATTCCATTTTAATTGGTATTTTCTCCATCCCAATTATTATCTAGAAAAATTTACAATAGTTAGTCTTGAACATATTTGATGCGTAGTAACGTTGTAAGCCAAAGCTTGAGCACATGGCCCGAGCTCGACACACCCCAATTATGCTAGTTCCAAGCTCCGGGTTAGGGTTGAGTTTGGGGTAATTGTAGAGGTCGGGCCTGTATCTCTTTTGCTCGGTCTCCTTAAGCTTATCTCACATTTTCTAGGAATGTTAATCCTACTTTGACTACAACTTCCTACTTTTCCTATTTAAATATATTTCCTAACATATTACAAATTTGACTCTAATTCAAACTGTGCACTTCTAATACAACACAAACACTTTGTATAACGAGAATAAGGACTAGATAAAGTTGAATCCTTTTAGGATTTCATTTCCAACATCTATAAATACATGACACAACCTCATTATTCAAGTACGTTTTACATAATATTCCAGCATATAGCTTTTCGCACAATTTCTCTCTGACTTAAACATCGGATGAACGACGAGGATACACCTCTACGCATTTGTTTCAGGTATTGAAGATAAGATCGAGCGGATATCAACCATCCAGTTCAAGTTCATTCAAGTGCAAATTTTTGGTAGCATCAATATTATTTGTGAAATGTATAACCAAAAAATGCTTCGTAATGGTACAAGAACGAGGAACATAATCTCACCTGATTGTTTTTATTTTATATTTTTCAATTTAATTTGATTAAAATAAAAATAATAGTAAAAATGAATTAACAATTAAACAGGAAAGCTAAGGAATTTTTTTTTTTTTAATCCCACACCGTCGCCATCCAAGAAAATTCCAACTCCATTGATCAAGCTGGTTCCTAACAATTTACCAGGCTGGTCGTATCATCTAATCTATTTTCATCATCCTCACTTGGTGAGCAAGAATCCAACCAAAAAGTGAAATATTTCAGCTTCTCACTACATAACAAGTAATTTAGTTTAATAGCAATAAAATCTTTTGATGATAGTTTCTACCAGACATCTCTCCATTGTCCCAAGATGTTAGTTAATAAACATCTCTAGGAGGATGAAATATGACAGCCAATGTTACATTAAACATGTCATAAGCACTCTATAACACTGTCGCAAAGGGTATAACAATGCTGACTGATCTGATGGCAATGAATTTCGACTCAGCTCACAAGCAAGTGATCAAATCCTCCCCCTGCTTGCATAGCAGCAACCCGAGGTCCTTGCACATTGTGAAGCAACTGCTGCAGCCACCTTCTCGTGGTTGGATCTTCCTGAAAATATAAAGAATTAGAAAGAACATTCACCAAATGTTCTGTTTACCAGAGGAAAATTCTAACAGTGGACAATCTCAGTTGAAGAATACTTACACGAAGGCAACTGCTAAATGTTGCATCTCTAAGGATATCTGGAAGACAACTTCTCAGCGCATCACAAGCTCTGTATAAAATAAGGTGATTGGTTTCAGCAAAGAGGCGTTTTTAAAAAATTGAAAGCAGGTGGATCGATGAAATTATTCTCACCTTACATTATCAGACAATCGAAGGTAGCACCTGATTATGTGTTTTAACAGCCGAACTGAAGGCTGCTCAGCAAGAGCAGCAACCATATTTCCCAGTACTCGACCTACAGCAAAGAACCGCTCTGCTGTGGTACATATGTAATCTAAGCCCACATCATCAAGCAAAATCTTTTGCACAATAAATGTTGCAACCTGACAACAGAAGCCTCTCTGTCATAGTTGAATAAAATCCAGCAAACGATAGCTAACAGTTGATGTCAAATTGCAAAACTCAAATTAGTCTTGTTTAGCTCGAGTGACTGTAAAAATGACTGCACTTAGAATGCACTGCAGCACTACAAAAATCAGGTGAACTGCTCTGAAGCTCTTGTATGTGACTCAGAATAACATTTGTTCACACCACTTTGATAAAAACAAATTAGTAAAACGGGTGTAGCATAATTTCAGATATAAACTTATCAAATGAAAACCCAAATACACTACAGCTATAATAGGGCAATGAACAGTGGACAACCACAGGGAAAGGATAATCATTTAGGATATTTAATTAAAACTGTAAAACCACACCTTCACGGTTTTCCTTGTTTCGGGAAATTCCGATACTCTTAATGATGGAGAGTTACTTTCCATAACAAGAAAATTATTCAACCAACTCATTTCATTAATAGAAACTAAGTAGAAATAATCAGAAAGAAATGTTCACAAGGCACTCAACTGTTTTTGATAATTCACTACCCATCTCCATGGTGCGCAGGCAGAGGGGAATAATTTCAGTAGAGAGAAGGAAACTGATAACTTCAGTGTCATCAACCTGGATAGCGAAGGAAAGCATATGACAGAAATAGTTATTTCTCATCCAGAGATGGAGAATAAACAGTAATGCTGGAAAAAAGTAACACAGTAATTGTTATTGAAGTCGGCATAAAATCCTATTCATTCTGATATTTCAACACATCCAAGTTTTGCATACGCTCAAAGAGACATGTTAGGAGGAGGAGGGATAGACCAATACTAACACAGTCCACTATCATCCCTAAGCTCTAATTGTTTTGAATTTTCAAGTAGATAAAGCAATTAACTAAACAAAGTGGCAAAAAGGATTCATGTAGCCAACCCCAACTTTATTTATAGTAAGGCACAGTTTGTTCTTTTCTTTGGTTGTTATTGTAACTCATCCACCATTCCAAGTAAGTCCACGACACAAAATAAATTAACCAACAGGTGCAATTGTAGAGTGGAGATCTTACATACTAAAGACCTGTCAAGAATACACAGGCGCCACACACAGAACGGGAGCTAAGGGTGAGAGAAAAGTACCTCGTACATAAAATGGCTATAATCGAGAATACAATTTTCTGTTTGAGCTACACACGAAACCAGATAAAATAAAATTTGAAATATCTTTAGGGATAGAAAATACCTTCACCAAAGCACCAATGACACCTAAACTTGTAAGCCTCAGGTACTCAAAGGGCCTTGATTTGCTGGTTGTGTTGAGAAAAGGGTACAGATACAATGGGATGTGGGCTACAACAGAGAAGAAGTCAGCCAGAAAATCCTAATTTAGCAACTTAGCATTTAACAGATGGCTGTAAATAGGCATAACTCAAATGAGATAAATAAGAATTGAAGGCTGAACATAACAGAACAAATTTCAGTCCCAGTTAGCAGTACAATTAACGTAAAAACTCAACATCTCCTTCACTCCCACAAAAATAAGTGCGTGTTAGCTTAGGAAAAGCCGCTTTTACTTAAAGTTCAAATCTTTAAACATGAAAGATATGAATATCAAACAATAATATCATACCATTAAGAAACGACATTCTTGTGTCCGGGTGAGAGGCCACACACTGCAAAATATATATAAATACCATGTAAATTCAGGAATAGAGGAAGCAAGTAATTTTTTTATATCAAGGTTTATTCTATTTCATCTTCTTTTGGTCTTTCTTTTTTTTTTTACCTATCAATTATAGGAGTTTTCAGGGGTTTAGGGTTTCGAGTAGAGAGATATCCACACAATTAGAATATGCACAAATTGAAAAGAGAACAAATAAATCATGCAGTTAACCATTACTGCCACGATAACGTAAAAATTATATCAAATGACTCATTCCATAAGTGATAACAACTAATAATTATAGTTTTTTCGACATATAAAGTGAGAGAGATGCAACTTTATGCACTGCCAATAGAGAAACTCAACTGGATATAGAACTTAACAATCATTTATTATGTTCCCTCCAAATATGGTCTGCAATTATGTCCTCCCAACTTCTATCTGAATATCCAATTTTAGAAAATGTCGCAAGTACGTTCCAGTCAATATGTATAGTTCTAACTAATTCGAGATCTTTCCCATTTTCCCTGAAGCAAATTAAAAAATATCAATCTAATGGAGCTTTTGAGACTGCGTTGAATCCATTTCCCCTAATGTCATGAAGTTCATATCTCAACTTGCAAGTTCATTGAGGAACTCGTAATTATTGCTAATCCATTCCAGATGTATACTTCAACAAAAATTTACTCTTGATACTCCCATATTCCCCCACGTGTGGATCCAGATCCATCCTCCCCACCCATACATAGAGACCAAGCAACAAACGTGTACAAACTGCACACTGCAACCTCATTCGTGCAGATTGAACACCGCTATTCTTGATCTCGAAGCAAATCCCACAAAAAGGTGAATAAGCAATGAACAAAAATTTATCTTCAAATAGAAGGCAAAGTATGAAACTTCTCAAAGCATTTTTCAAAGCCACAAGCACCTTTCACCTACCCCATTCTAACAACTCTTGCATCCGCCTTCAATTTTTACTCAAAATGGCTCAACATTGCAAAACAAGAACTTCACTTTTATGTCTGCTTCGCTATTACATTGCCCCTTAAAAGTTAAAAGAATGTTAACAGAGCTAGACTAGTAATTGACCTGGCAAAAGCACCAGCTCAACAAGTCAATGGTTATCCATCAACCCTTAGATCTTGGGTATTGCCTCTTTATTTTGATAAATTATTAAAATGGCAGGCCAGATTTGAGAAAAATCCAACAATTCTTGCAGGACGTGTCCGATTCGATAAAAACTAGTAGGTTCTTACAGGGTCACAAGTGGTTCAATTGCAATCCTGTTCTAATATACAAACCGGACCATGGCTTGATTCACAGTACTCTGGTCAAACAGGCTGGTCCGGTCCTGATTTACCAATTATAGTTAAAATGAATTATTTCCTGATGAGTTCCTATTGGTTGGACTTTAGTCTTTCCTAATGAGTTATTCCTTATTTTCTTGCTTTGCTACCATGTATAGAAATTGCCCTGCAAACAAGCCATTCATATTTCATGCATAGGGTTTAAAAGTAAAACAAATTTTTATTTTTATTTTTTTCTTTTTTGAAAAAGGAATAGATGTAACTATAAGTTTAAATTAAAGTAGATTCTATTTTAAAATTCCTTTATTAATTAACATATATAAATTCTCAAATTTTCTCTTTCTAAAATTCAAATACAAGATCTGTATGTCTTCATTTTACTAGGTCTTTCATTTCTATTTATCATTAAAATTTTGTTTGTCATATTTTTTAAAGAAATAACTATTTAAAGTGTTTTTGAAAAAAATAATCTAAAAGTATACGTGCGAGCTCGCATCAAATAATGGTGTATCCCAGTGAAAAGACACGACTCTTGAAAATATAAGGTCCTTGGTTAGAAATTGACAATTCTCCATTATGTGAATTTTCAAAAAACATGTTGAAAATTTGAAAAAAATAAATAAAATCGACTAGTCTAAACCAATGGGTTCAACGAGTTTGAGCAAAGCTCTGATGCTTCAAGCGGGTCAATGGTGGTTCAATTTACGTTGATCCAATTATGTTGATCGAGTTCACTGGTTTCTAGTTGGACCGGTCGGACCGTTCCGAGTTTAATAGCTAGGTGAGCTCCTGCTCTTATCCAATAACACTTCTTGTTGCTTGACCTTCAGTCAAAAAACAATTCCTTCCGTCTCTCTTGACGAGTTCTTCCTTATTTGCTTGCTTTACTACCATGTATGGCATTTCCATGCAAATAAGCCATTCATATTCCCCTGCTTAAACTAGCTCTCATTAAAGCAGTTGTAGCTTATACTAGCAAGACGTACTCCCACTATGATCCAACGACACTTCTTGTCGCTTGGCCCTTAGTCTCTTGTAGCACAATTGTCACAACCCATATTCATTGATTTTCTTTTTGTAAGGAAAATCGACTTCAATTCTTTAAATAATCCAAGTCACTTCTACTTCTATTGTAACACAAGAAGCTTCTATTCCATAGAATCGGTTATGCAATGCTACGATTACCTAATAAACATTATGTTTACCGAACAAGACGTCGAGTGTCTCTTAATCATTCCCCTCTTACAACTAAAGAGATAATGGCCATAGTAAAACTAAAGGATTGGCATTAAAGAGTAAAACTGAAATATAACCAAAAACGGCAACCGCAATTCATTCAATGATAACAATGAAAAGAAAAAAGAATAAATGGGTGCATTTATGAGAATAATTAGAAACTTTTATTTGTTAAATAGACAGATAACACCCATAAAACATCTGATATAAAGTTCTAGGGTATCATAAATCTAGCAAAACCAGACACAAGTTGTTACCCATCCCCAATACACTGAAATCGTGATGATGCATCCAGTGCCTATTTCTTTTTCTTCCAACAAAAGTCCAAAAACCTAATTCAAACTCAATTTTTATCTGTGCTAGATCCAGTAAGGTCCTAGGTTAAGAAACAAAGTCAAGTATGGAGATACAAAAAAATACACAAAAGCAATTAGATGCTGCCTTCTTATGAGGCAAGATAATATAATCTGCAGCAGAATCAGCAGCATAACTTATAAATCAGACCTGAAGTAGTGCAAGCGCATTGCAAACTCTGTTTGATTGTGCTGGAGTTAGGTTTGGTGGTGATAAAACAGGGTAGATGGAAACTATTTCCTGCAGGGGAGAGAAAAAAAAAACATCAATCACCATGAGGTTTCTCCAAGAGCTCAAACTCCTAAGCACTATCACTTCTATAAAAAAAGGTTGCTTGCTTATTCTATTCTTCTGGATATGGTCCACTAATGCTCTTAAGCAAGAAAAGAACTTGCAAATGAGATTTCACCATAATATGCAAACTAATGCTCATAAGGAATAAAAGAACTTGCAAATTTATAAAGAAAGTACTCCCTAAGAGTTAAGTAGTGCACACTAGCAAATTGAACGTAACACGACAAAATCCTCTATTTTACATTAAAGTCGAGACGAATAGACTCAAAAAAGGAAACATAGACATGAAAGCCATGGTAGTACATTCCTTTCTCATAATTTTACCATAAATACAAAATGTAATGTGTCAATTTTGCATTTGCATTCCCAGATCCTAGTCAACTTCCATTAACACATAAACTGGTATGATATGTCCATATCAATCTCAAATAGTTAGTAAAATTCACAAGCTTTATTGTAGCTCAAAAAGCAGAAAGTGACGCAAAATAACGACTACCAATGTTAATTTGAACATTCTTATTTTTTAATGACAAAAATGCAAGTCATCTCAAGCTTTATGTAGAATATAGAATGATATACATTTAAAAAGAGGAGTGAAAATGGTATGATCAAGCATCAAAGTATCCATGGACTAACTTCATGGTCCGACCTCATTACCAGCTAATTTCCAGAAAAAACCTATACTTATAAAAACCGGAAAGATGGGGATAAATTAAAGAAATATCGTAACACTTACCTGCAAAAGAGCAGCAATTGTACCAAAGGAATTCCACAGTAAAGGAGCTAAATCTTGAAACAGTTCCCTCTTCTATTAAATGAAAAGGAACATTGTATCAGGCACATATCGAATAATTTCCCCAAAACGTACACCAGGAAAGAGTCAAAATATGGAATAAAATATATTCTCCAATCAGAAAAAAATATGGAGAAGCAAATGCCAGAAGCACACTTCAGAATTACAGAATGTAAATCAGCTGTCAATGCTGCTTTCTCTACAATCTACATTGTCGATTTATTTTGAACGAGTAAACTAATATTTACTTAAACAAGTAATTTTAAAAATTGTAGAATACAATTTAAAACTTCCTTTAAACAATAGCTAATTTTTTATTTAATAAAAAAGTAAATCTTTAATTCAAAACAACAACTTTTAAAATTTTTAATATACCATTGAAGATCCAAATTACTAAATGGATAGCTGTAATTGTAAATATTTTAAGTTAACAATTCCTTTTTTTTTTTTTTTACTCGATAGTTATTATCTCATAATTTTATTAATTAAAAAATAAGTAAATGCTTTATTATTTAAACCAAATTTTCAAAAACATTTGTGCCAAAAAATTTCTGTTATCATAAGGTAATAGATTATTTGCCTGGAGTAATATTTAATTAAAGAACAATTAATAATTAACTCAATCTTACCAAACTTTTACTACCCTAATAGCAAATTTAATCAATTACAGAAAAATAAAATTAAACCCGATAAATAAGATTTTAATATTTTAGATTTTAGTGGTAAGCCTTATAGTAAATTATTTCCTACCATGGATATGATAAATTAAATACTGGGTAGTCAATAATTAATTTTCCAAACAGTTAATCATGAAATATTATCTGTATTAGGTTTAATATTTCATAACTTACAAGTTTGACTTCAAACCTTATAATAAATAATTCCAATTGTAGATGTAACAAATTAAATATTGGTTACCTAACTATTTTTTAAAATAGCAAAATTTGAAATCACGATTTAAAATTATTTATAATTAGAAAACCAAACCTACTTCCATATTTGATATCAGAATTTAATATTTTAAATCAGAAACAATATATTTGTATAAATACTATCAGCATTGAAAATGAAAAATATTACTGTTATCTGGATAAAATTTTAAAAAATAAATAAATAAAGATTCGACATTATTTTTGACATTCTAAACTTTGTTAGGTTTAAGATATAACTAGCAAATTTTGAACATGGTTAAAAAAAAAATTGAAATGGAAAAATATCAAATGCAATCTGGTTAAAGTAAATGCTGATCATCACATATCCCCCAAACCCCTCACACACCGGCCGACCCCTCAAACCTGAGACACCACACACACTGACGCACACAATGCTTTTACTGTTTTGCATGCTTTTCGTAAAGCTTTAATTTTCACTTTTCCAACATGCTCATCGTGATGGCCTGCACCTGCCATTCGACAGGATTATTCAGCCCAACGGCCAATTCTAGAAGCTTTATTTTTTTACCACTTTCGAATTATTTTAATTGACCATGCTAAAGATAGTTAATCGGAATCTTAAACAAGTTCTTTTTCCATAGAATTGAATGTAGAAACAAATAATATCACATCAATTCGTAATCTGTGAAACAAAATTTAATAAAAAGGCATATCAAGAATAACCCATAAGCCGCCTATTTCGAAAAACCAAAGAAAAATTGCCGATATACAGAATAGATTAAATTTAAACAAGACAAAATTATGTATAAAAGTTAAAATTACGCATAAAATAGAAAATAAAAACCTTGGAGAGCTCGAGAAGGGCGTTTTCACGGAGATCGGGGTTGCAGAGATCGAGGACGAGTTGCTCAGCCGATTGCATTTTGCGATCCTTGTTACCGGCGGCGACTTGAGGCCCTCCAATGGCCGTTGATGCGCTGGATCCAGCCTCGAAGGGAGCTGCCTTCATGTTCAGGGATTGAGGTAGGTTAGCCATTTCCGCGAGGTCTTGCTTTTGGTTTTGGTTTTGAAGCTTTATACGTGAAAGAACTGAAGAAAAGAGAGAGAACGGTGCCACATAGCATAAGTCATTACAATACGTGGCAATATTGTAAATAGGCGGTTAAAAACGTGTTAGAATGTCATATTAGGTGTTATTTTATGATATGTTCAATTAAAGATAGAATTATTTGATTCATTTAATTGTACTTTTCATTCAGAGTAATGCTATTCCTCCCCACTGGAGATGAAAACACAATTTAGGTGGTTTTAAATGATAGGTTAAATGAAAAGTGAAATTAAATAAGCCGTCTAAACTGTGTTTTCATTCCTACTGGGGATGAATGACATTACTCTTTCATTTAATGTCATTTTAATTGATATAAAAAATGATCCTTGCTCACCCAGGTTTACCACCTGGGTGACGAAATTCAAAGACTTTTGTCCATTTGCCTATGAAAAGGTTAGCCATTTCCGCGAGATCTTGCTTTTGGTTTTGGTTTTGAAGCTTTATCATATGTGAAAGAAATGAAGAAAAGATAAAGAATAGTGCTACATAGCATAAGTTATTACAATAGGTGGCACTATGTAAATATGCGGTTGAAATCATGTCAGAACGTCGATTTAAGTGTTAAAGATAGAATTATTTGACTTATTTAATTGTACATTTCATTTAATGTCATGTAAATTGATATAAAAAATTCTACTTGCACACCCAATTTTACCACCTGGGTGACGAAATTCAAAGACTTTTGTCCATTCGCCTATGAAAAGGTTAGCCATTTCCCCGAGATCTTGCTTTTGGTTTTGGTTTTGGTTTTGAAGCTTCATTATATGTGAAAGAAATAAAGAAAAGAGAAAGACTAGTGCTACATAGCATTAGTTATTACAATAGGTGGCACTACGTAAATATGCGGTTAAAATCGTGTTAGAACATCAGTTTAGATGTTACTTTATGATATGCTCAATTAAAGATAGAATTATTTGACTCATTTAATGTCATGTAAATTGATAAAAAAAAGGCTACTTGCACACCTGGATTTACCACCTGGGTGACAAAATTCAAAGACTTTTGTCCGTTCGCCTATGAAAAGGTTCGCCATTTCCGAGAGGTCTTGCTTTTGGTTTGGCTTTGAAGCTTTATTATATGCGAAAGAAATGAAGAAAAGAGAGAATAGTGCTACATAGCATAAGTTATTACAATAGGTGGCACTATGTAAATAGGCGATTAAAATCGTATTAGAACATCGATTTAAGTGTTACTTTACGATATGTTCAATTAAAGATAGAATTATTTGACTCATTTAATTGTATATTTCATTTAATATTATGTAAATTGATATAAAAAATGCTACTTGCACACCTAGATTTACCACCTGAGTGACAAAATTCAAAGACTTTTGTCCACTCCCCTATGAAAAGGTTAGTCATTTCATCGAGGTCTTGCTTTTGGTTTTGATTTTGAAGCTTTATTATATATGAAATAAATGAAGAAAAGAAAAAGAATAGTGCTACATAGCATAAGTTATTACAATAGGTGGCACTATGTAAATAGGCGGTTAAAATCGTGTTAGAACATCGATTTAAGTGTTACTTTACGATATGTTCAATTAAAGATAGAATTATTTGACTCATTTAATTGTACCTTTCATTTAATGTCATGTAAATTGATATAAAAAATGCTACTTGCTCACCTAGATTTACCACCTGGGTGACGAAATTCAAAGACTTTTGTCCATTCGCATATGAAAAGGTTATCCATTTCCGCAAGGTCTTGCTTTTGGTTTTGAAGCTTTATTATATGTGAAAGAAAAGAAAGAAAGAGAAAGAATAGTGCTACATAGCATAAGTTATTACAAATAGGTGGCACTGTGTAAATAGGCGGTTAAAATGGTGTTAGAATGTCGGTTTAGGTGTTACTTTATGATACGCTCAATTAAAGATAAAATTATTTGACTCATTTAATGTCATGTAAATTGATATAAAAAATGCTACTTGCACCCAGATTTACCACCTGGGTGACGAAATTCAAAGACTTTTGTCCATTTGCCTATGAAAAGGTTAGCCATTTCCGCTTTTGGTTTTGGTTTTGGTTTTGAAGCTTTATTATATGTGAAATAAATAAAGAAAAGACAAAGAATAGTGCTACATAGCATGAGTTATTACAATAGGTGGCACTATGTAAATATGCATTTTAAAATCGTGTAAGAACGTCGATTTAGGTGTTACTTTATGATTTGCTCAATTAAAGATATAATTATTTGACTCATTTAATTGTACCTTTTATTTAACATCATGTAAATTGATATAAAAAATGCTACTTGCACACACAGATTTACTACATGGGTGATGAAATTCAAAGACTTTTGTCAATTCACTTATGAAATCCTACCATTTCTACGTTCTGCCACATAGATGGTAAAACTAGGTGTACATGTAAATTTCTCGATTGATATGGTAGGTATAGTGTTATATTATGGGTGTACAACACCTGTACATTTCTACGACTTAATGGAGAGGATCTAACTTTAAATCGACACTCAATAGAGAACTATATGGGCTCACAATGAATTTTTTTTTTATAACCTTGAATGTTCGAGTCAACTTGCGCGCACCTCGATTAATTTAACAGGGACCTGAAGTTTACGACCGAATACTCACCTCAGTGGTCCTGAAGGGACTTGAACTGATGATCATTGTGCAACAAACTCAATATCTGACTAACTGAACAACTTCTCAAGGTTCGCAATGAAAAATTCATAACTCTCATACATTAAGTCCTGTTTAATGGCCATTAATTAGCAAAAACAAAGTTTTGAATAGTAAATTTTTAGAAAATGTATTATTAAAAAGTAAGAAAAAATTTTAAATTTATATATAGTATATTTTATTATGTGAATGTGAAATTCATAATAAGTATGTAGAAAAAATGAGTTAAAATAAAGGACGCCAAACGATGGCTAAGAAAAATATCAAGAATTCTTTCAAAAATTAGGTCATAAATCATATTTATCTTTCTTAAAAATTGTACATGTATGAATTTATATCATAAATTATTGTGACTTAAAATTAATGATGATTATAAGATAATCGAAAATATTCTCTATCACCTTTATCACTTCCCAAAATAAAATAAATCAATTATTTCCTCATCAAAATTCCATCTTCAAACAAACAGGAACCAAAACTCACTTCCCACGACTGTGAATCTAGCCACAATATCAATTTTCAACTTCATTTCTCCATAATCAATTTTATCTTTTTTGTAGTCATATTATCTTCATCAAATGTTAATGGTAAAGTAGAGTTCTAAACATTCGCTTACAGAATATTAATTGGTACCAAACATAGCCTAAGTCCCTGTTTAATGACCATTAATTAGCAAAAACAAAGTTTTGAATAGTAAATTTTCAGAAAATGTATTATTAAAAAGTAAGAAAAATTTTTAAATTTATATATAGGATATTTTATTATGTGAATGTGTAATTTATAATAAGTATGTAGAATAAATGAGTTAAAATAAAGGACGCCAAACGATGGCTAAGAAAAATATCAAGAATTCTTTCAAAAATTAGGTCATAAATCATATTTATCTTTCTTAAAAATTGTACGTGTATGAATTTATATTATAAATTATTGTGACTTAAAATTAATGATGATTATAAGATAATCGAAGATATTCTCTATCACCTTTATCACTTCCCAAAATAAAATAAATCAATTATTTCCTCATCAAAATTCCATCTTGAATCTAGCCACAAAATCAATTTTCAACTTCATTTCTCCATAATCAATTTTATCTTTTTTGTAGTCATATTATCTTCATCAAATTTTAATGGTAAAGTAGAGTTCTAAAGTCTAAACATTCGCTTACAGAATATTGTTTCCACTCGCAATTCCCAGTGTTGAGAGAAAATTTCCAGTTAATTATACACAATTTTCCCATCACTTACAAAGAAGCGTCCATTGAATACAAGTACAAGTTAGAAGCATTGGTCTACACAAGGCACTAAGACGAGCAAATCCCTACACACCTGTAGACCTGCAAGAGCAATAGTCACAGGTTACAAACCACATAGGCAAACACCGTATAAAGAATGGATCTTGCTACGTGTACTTCAGGGGTTACATAATGCCATATGTCATTTGCCAATTTAAAACACAGTCAACTTTTTACTCCATATCATATTACGTAACCCCTTATCTGCAATTTTTATGTACAAGTAGCAAAATTAATAAAAATAAATTAAACTTCGTCATCGACATTATCAAGGCAAATGGCATTTTCACCATCCAACGTGAACAAAAGAGCATATAAAATTATGGATCCTACCTCAGGAAGAAATTTAATCAAGCTCTACAATACACAGCTGCCACCACTACCCATCAGCTGAGATGCCCATTAACTTTGAAGGCAGTTTTATACTGAAAAAGGTGAGCACCAATAATGGCCAGTTTCACTTTCAACATCTTGGTTTCACTTACAACACAGGTCAAAGAATGTGAAGTACATAGACCAGTGCCCCTCGTATACTTCATCTTCGAAGCAATATTTCCTCTTTTGCAGTCTCCCTCCATTTCGCAAAGATGGAATAGTCAGACTTGAATTGTCCAATTTTGCCACTACTCAAGATTGTGCCAACTTAAAAATAAATAAATAAATAAATTATTAACCCCCTCACACTTACAGACATGCTCATAACTTTCCATTTGCTATAAATCTGCAACAAATACAAGCATATCCCTGCACCACCCCAACCTTTCACTCGTATAATAGATGCACCTTCTATTCTCCTCAACCTCAAACCTTATCAAGTTATCCCCATAACTACACTTAAGGAGCAGATCTGGTTATCCAAGGCATCTGCAGTTGTACATGTGTAGAAACCTTTGTAATGATATCAATATCATAAGAGCATGATATGCAACCACACATGAGACCCGCAACTTTCATCAACTTTTCAACGATGCATTTCATCCACTTTTATCAAAATCTAT